GCGTGGCCCCTGATGGCAGCTGTAAGGGACACCGCGTGCCCCTTACAGCTGCCATCAGGCGCCCCCCATCGGTTGGCACCCTGGGCAGCTGCCCTGCATCTGTGCCTCTCTGCCTGGCCAGCATGAAGGAGGCAGAGACATGACAATGTAGCATTCATGCTCCCTTTGCTGTGGCTAATCCTGAGGAGTGGCACTAGACCTGTTGACTTTTAGCACACTCTAAATGCATGGATGTGCATTAAGCCAAATTTCTGCTCGCCTGAACAAAGCAAAGAGAGAGGTAAGGCTCAGTCAGATTGAAATCCAGGTCAAAGATAACACAGGCAAAATTGATTAGCGCTAGAAAGAACTTCTGGGTATCTTCTTCCTTTCTCCTGTGTTTTAATCACAGGAGCACAGCACATGTTTTTCCAGATACTAGGGGCCAGATCCTGCCATCTTTTCAGCGAGATTACTCACCGTAAGCAATCTATAGAACCATGTGTAGAGTATGGATGTTAAGGACTAGTCAACTATTTGATAAGCAAATGCTTATTGGATAGTCAGTTGACTAGTCAATTCGCCCCTCCCCCCGCTGCCTCTATCACTTAGAGGCAGCAAACGACTGATCCCGGCTCAGCTGTGCAGCGCTGTCCCTTTCAAATGCTGCCTCGGCATTTCCAAGCGGCAGCTGGGATCAACTGTGTGTGCCTCCGCGCTTGGAGTCCCCAGCTGATCCCGGTTCCACTGAAATTCTGGGCAGAGCCCGGGATTGACTGGGGAATCCCCCACTGACCCCAGTGGACTCCATGCTGCACTGCCACTTTGAAATACACAAAAGCCCCCAGTAGGGACTCTTCTACGTTTCAAAGCTGACATGCCGCGTGCAGCCTGGAGTCAGCGGGACTTCCCCCTGGGCTGCATGCGGAGTTCTGCATTCCTTCTTTGAAATGTACAAGAGCCCCAGTGGGTGCTCTTGTACATTTCAAAGGAGGAATGCGGAAGTGCCTATCGACAAGTTAAGTAGTCAATGGAAATTCCACCAACTACTCGACTAGTAAAATAACCGATAGTTAACATCCCTAGTGTAGAGAAAAGTACTCAGCATGAACAAGGGAGGCATAATCCAGGCTGGAACAAACAGGCTGTGTCTAGACTGGCAAGTTTTTTCTGCAAAAGCAGCTGCTTTTGCGGAAAAACTTGCCAGCTGTCTACACTGGCCGCTTGAATTTCAGCAAGAACACTGACTTCCTACTGTCTGAAATCAGCGCTTCTTGCAGAAATACTATGCTGCTCTCATTCAGGCAAAAGTACTTTTGCGCAAAAGGGCCAGTGTAGACAGCTCAGATTTGATTTGCGCAAAAAAGCCCCAATCGCAAAAATGGCGATCGGGGCTTTTTTGCGGAAAAGCGCGTCTAGAGGTGGCACAGATGCTTTTCCGCAAAAAGTGCTTTCTGTCTCAAATTCTTTTTCTTTAGCTGCTTTTTCATTTGATCTTTAGTTCTTGTTCATTCTATGTTCTTTTTCTATTTGCTTATGTTAATGAATCTCTGTCTCATCTCATCTGTTTCTCCAAGTATCTTTCATCCTTTTTAGAAGGGGGAAAAATCCTGCCTTATTGTTCAGTTGTATTCGTCTGACAATCAGTGACATACTATTTTATTCATAAAGGAGATTAATAGTGAATATTTATAAACTTGTAAACAAACTCATAAACTCAAGCTCATTAACAAATTGCTCGGTGTTTTCAGACAACTTAATAGTTAAAAGCCATAGGTGCAGATTTAATAGAGGACCCTTGGGGAAAAAAAGGATGCTCCAGAACTGACTGGCATGTAGCCCCATGGAGCAGTGTCTCCCCCTTCCTCTGCAGTACCTCCCACTAGCCAGTGGCCTTGCCAGTCAGCTCCTCCTGCCTACTACAGTCACTATTCAGTGGCTTGCAGGTGGAGTTTGGAAGGAGAGGGAGGAGTGGGGTCTGGAAGAGGCAGGAAGTGGCAGAATAAGGGTGGGAAGAGGCGGGGTAGGTGGAAAGGCTGGAGTGGAGATGGACTTGGGGCAGAGTGGTGGTGGGGGTCTAGCACCTCTCAGGAACTGCAGAAGTTGGTGCCTATGTTAAAAACCCAAAGATACAATGTACTCCCCAATTCCAGAGACTCCTTTTCAGACACATTCTCTCTAAGGCTTTGTCTACTCTTAAAGCACAGCCATGGCAGTACTATTGTGGCAACATTTTCACCTGAAAGTGTGGCCACAGCAGGAGCGCTGCGAGAGCTCTCCCAGCACTCTATATAAACCACCTATGTGAGGGGAACAGCTAACAGTCCTGCGAGTGCAGCTTTCAGCGATGTAGCTTGTTTCACACAGTCACTTAACAGCACTGTAACTTGCTGTATTTGGGGTACTGGTGGGGGGATTCATGGGCCTGGACTACAAAGTTACAGTGCTGTAAAGTGCCAGTGTAGACTTGCTCTAATATGAGTCTCAGGTCTGATTTTTCAATCCCTATTTCTGACTAATGGGAATATTTCTTTACTCGATATTAGATGTGTGGGTAGGGCTTGTAGGAGTAAGACACTGATTACAGACATGCTATATAAACTCCCAAATCAGTGAAGTAAGTTTAATGCAAAGGGGAATTTTGCCTGAGTAAAGACTACAGTGTTAGTTCCCAATGCTTTGTCTAACTAGCCTTCTCCAGGATGTCTCTTCTTTTACACTTATTTTTAAGCAAATGTATTGACTAAAATATATGCTAGAAGGTTTGCATGGTGGCTTCAACATGTAAGCCAGGAAGCGGGCATTTAATCTTCAAACATCTGGTCCCCTGACCCAGTAGGTTGATATTTTGTCCATGAACAGTACATACCTGTGCTAATTATATCATCTGGAAGTTCATCTCCACAGTACCTAAAAAATGATTGTAAATGTTTCGTGATAAATATGAATGAGCAAATATAAAATAACATAAATGCCACATTGATACTTTAACAGAGAAGGATGGAGTACCCCTCCATTCCAAGTTGTTCTTTGGGGTCTATTCTAACATACAAAAAGTTATTGGCTTAAGTACTTTTATCTGAACCATTTCACAAATGAGAGTGAGGGACATACCTGCCAATGGGAAGGGGACAGAGAGGCCAAAGGAACAGCTGCTCTGGGGCCTGGTGATTCAAAAGAGCCTGGGACTCCTGGCTGCCACCATCACTACCCCAGGAGCAGTGGCAGATGGAGCCCTGGGCCCTTTGAATTGCCACCAGAGTGCCGTGTAGCGTGTTTCAAGCAGTTCTGAGGGGGTGGGTGCGCCATCACAGCACAGTCCAGTAGTGCTAACAGCTGGCTGCCCCAGGCCTGATCCTTTCAGGAGTGCACAGCCATCCCTCCACCCCACCTGGCCCAGCGGAACCTGTGGAACTCCTTGCCAGAGGATGGCGTAAAGGCTAGAACTTTAACAGGATTCAAAAAAGAGCTAGGTAGATTAATGGAGGTTAGGTCCATCAATGGGTCCATCAAAGGATAGGTAGGAATGGTGTCCCTAGCCTCTGTTTCTCTGTAGGGTGGGTGGCAAGGGAGAGACCACATGAAGATTACCCCGTATGATCTGACCCTGTATGGCCTTTGTTATGTTCTTATGTGTTAAGTCTTTTGGCCCCCTTGCTGAGGGTGGAGAGAAGAAATATTACGTAGGAAGTAAAATTTGCAATAATTGAAGAAAGTAAATGAACTGAAAGAAGGCAAAGAGCTATTCATTTTCATAAGGAACAATAATCTGAAGCTGAGGGAGGCCAACCCTAGGCTGGACATCAGGAAAATGTAAAGAGGAACTGTCCTAAAGAGGAACTGTCAAGGGAAAAAACCAGGATTGAGTCCTGCCTTTGCTCCTTGATAATGTACAAAGGAGGCATTAAAACTAAAAGCAGTGAGAATTTGAAGGGTTTTTTCCCTTTGTTTATTTACATTACAAATTCAGATGTTCTACACTGAAAAACTGTGGTTGTTGTGGAACCAGTGAAATGATGACATCACAAGAGTAAAGAGGGTAAAAAATTGAGCAAGTATGCAGGAAAACAATTTTTGTCAGATTGTTTAAAACTCCTTGGGGTTTGGGGTCATTGTTTAATATTTATTTTATATCAATAAAGAATAATATTGTGAGTTGTGCATTTTTCCTAATAACTGAACCCCCCTCACACATTCCTTCAGTTAAGGTGTTAGAGCAAACACTAATTGTGCCAACATGTCAAAGAGATCTTCCACCAAAGCCATAGATGGATTTCTAAAGTAACAATAAGTAGTTGTTGAGAAAATCTTGTGGGTTTTCTTGATATCTCATAAAGAAGCAAAAAAGTGCCAAATCATAATTTTAAAAGATCTTTGCAGGTCACCTTTTTACTAGTATTGAGGAAGACTGCCAAAGGAGATGGTTTAGGCAAAAAGAGGTAAATAGTGAGGACGCAAAATGTGTAGATGATACTAAACAGCTCAAGATAGTTAAGACCAAAGCAGATCGTGAAGAGCTTCAAAAGGATCTCACAAAACTAGGAGACTGAGCAACAAAATGGCATATGAATTTTAATGTTGATAAATGCAAAATAATGCATATTGGAAAACATAATCCCAACTATACATACAAATTGATGGGGATTAAATTAGCTACTACCACTAAAGAGACATTGTGGATAGTTCCCTGAAAACATCCAAACAATGTGCAGCAGCAGTCAAAAAAGCAAAAAGAATGATAGGAATAATAGAAAATGGAATAAAGAACAAGGCAGAAAATATCTTATTGCCTCTATATAAAACCACGAATACCACGTACGGATGTGGTCGCCTTATCTTAAGAAAGATATATTATCATTGGAAAAAGTTCAGAAAAAGGCAACAAAAATGATTAGGGGTATGTCTAGACTACATGCCTCTGCTGGCAGAGGCATGTAAATTAGACTACCCAACATAGTTAATGAAGCGGGGATTTAAATATCCCCCACTTCATTAAAATGGCTGCCACGCTGTGCCTGCTCAGCTGATCATCAGCACTACACTGCAGTCAAGATGCGGATCGGTTGGCAAGGAAAGCCTTTGCTGACCGATCCTGTAAACCTCATTTCACAAGGCAAAAGGGAGCGGTTGACAAAGGCATTCCCTGTCGATCCACATCTTGACTGCCGTGCTGGGCCAATGATCAGCTGAGCTGGCACAGCGTGGCGGCCATTTTTATTTTAATGAAGCGTTGGATATTTAAATCCCCGCTTCATTGACTATGTCGGATAATCTAATTTACATGCCTTTGTCAGCCGAGGCATGTAATCTAGACATACCCTAGGGGTTTGGAACAGGTTCTATATGAAGAGAGATAAAAAGACTTGGACTTTTCAGCTTAGAAACAAGGAGACTAAGGGGGGATATGATAAAGGTCTATAAAATCATGACTGGTGTAGAGAGAGTAAATAAGGAAAAGTTGTTTCCTTGTCCCCATAATATAAGAATTAGGGGTCACCAAATGAAATTAATAGGTAGCAGGTTTAAAACAAACAAAAGGAAGTACTTCTTCATGCAATCCACAGTCAGCTTATGAAATCCCTTGCCAGGGGATGTTGTGAAGGCCAGGATTTTGACAGGGTTCAAAAAAAAGCTAGATAAATTCTTGGAGGATAGATCCATCAATGACATTAGCCAAGATGGGTAGAAATGGGTAGAATCGGTGACAGGGGAGGGATCCCTGGATGATTACCTGTTTTGTTCATTCTCTCTGGGGGCACCTATCATTGGCCACTGTTGCCAGACAGAATACTGGGCTAGCTGGACTTTTGGTCTGACCCAGGATGGCTGTTCTTACGTTCTTACTGCATTTATTCAAGAATGTATTAGGTGCAGGAAGCACTCCTTTAAGTTCTATGTTGTCAACACAATCTTTTTCTGAGCATACTAGCAATATTATGCCTTGAACATTGTAAGTATATTGCTTTAAATATATGTATAGAAATGTGAAAATTATGTTTACCTGCCCACAAAGCCAGTGACATCATCATAGCTATCATAAACTTCTAAGAAATCAGCCATGCATGCAGTGTCATCTTCAACATCAAAATCCAGGAACTGTAGATGAATCCGTTGCCCATACTTCAGTCTAATATGCCAGTAGCATATTTGTTCATTTTCATACTCGTTTGGGTAGCCTGGTGACTTAAAAATGTGTTTTGCACCTGTGAAAATTCCACCACATTCTTTTGCTAAGAGAAAAATAAAAATAGAGTTTAATGCGTTTCAGGTCTTCATGCCTTTGTGTGTGTTAGCTCTTCTGGACTAAATATTACATAGAATCAACTCAGTGTAACAGTAGTAAGACTCTTGAGTGTTGTTCTTATGTTTTATAACCTCATCATTCTGAACAAGTACCTGTGATTACACATATATGAAGTATAGATGGAGTTAATATGTTGGCAACTAGGGCCCTAAGTCAAAGACCATTGAGGTCAACGGAACTATTCTCATTGACTTGGATCAGATTCTAGGTTCTCTGTAAAGAAAATTGGGATTTCAAGCTAAATCCACCTATAGGCCTCACAACTGCACTTACAAATCACCCCACTTCCAACCTGGTCTCTTGTCCTTTAAGTCTTCTTAAAATGCTTCCCGTGCAAAATGTCTGTAAACTCTAGACCCTCCTCTAGCCCTCCTCCCCATTCAGTTAGGCTTTTTTTTCTTCTTCATCCTATTCCCCTTTCCTTTCGGCTTTGGCTCCCTGACTTGGGACGGTAGGGCTTGGGCTGGCTCAAGCTTAGGTCCCCCCTTGTGGAGTCATGTAATAAGTGTTGTTGTTGGGGGTTGTGGTGAAATGAATTTGGTGTATTTTGATTTTAAACTCTTCGGCACAGGGACTTTGTCAGGAAGGACTTGCATCCCAAACTCAAAGTTGTTGCATAACATGCTGCCGATATTGTGCTTCTCAAAGAACAATAGAGGCCTAAATTCAATTAAAAATGACTTAGCATCCTCTCCTGCCCTTTCCCCTGAAAACAGGCAAATCTTCTCAAATCTGAACAATATTCTCCATTGGCTACGTCTACACTGGCCCCTTTTTCGGAAGGGGCATGCTAATTTTGAAAGTGGGAATAGGGAAATCCGCGGGGGATTTAAATATCCCCCGCAGATTTAAATAAACATGTCTGCCGCTTTTTTTCCGGCTTGGGGAAAAGCTGGAAAAAAAGCGTCTAGACTGGCCCGATCCTCCGGAATAAAGCCCTATTCCAGAGGATCTCTTATTCCTACTTCAATCATGTTAATGTAGATAGCACCTACTAAATGATTTACCCAGCATTGTTTCGGTCCTTAACTCAAATAATTTTTGTTTTTCTTCATTTAAATCACTGTTCTGGAGTGGAGCTGGAGATGAAGGGTTCAATATACAGGCTGCCCCAGAGAGCAGGGGTGGATGTAGGGCAGGGCGAGTGGGGCGGTGGCCCCTGGCCCCGCGCTTCAAGAAGCCCCGCGCATGCGCCGTGTCAAAGAGGGGGCCCTGTGAAATTGTGCTGCCCTGAGCCCCACAAAATCCTGATCTGCTCCTGCCAGAGAGAGTGGACTACACCAGCCCTCTTCACCAGAGTAGCTTGGGGCTAGGTGAGGAGCACCTGTCCATGGCCACTGCAGCTCCAGTGGACACAGTCAGGGGAGGGGTACAGACAAACAGACACACAAACAGACAAACTCTCTGAAAGATGCAGTAGATATCTGTCTCTTTCTCTGCCCCTGCCCCCTAGTGGCCCAATGGGGTTGCAGCTGTTCCAGTCCTCATCTCTGGCCCCTTGCTGCCTCCTGTGGTCATTCTCTCATGTAACTTCCTGCCCACTCCTCTCCCTTTCCATTTTATGAGAAACAATCAAATTCCATGCACATCCCATTATCTAGACAACCAAACCCTGATCTTGCTTTAAGTTATGATAAGAGGAAACTGCATATCAAATTTGGAGGTCCTAGTTAGCACTTATTGTTTAGGAAGAGTTAATATAAAATAATATATAGAGATATACCTATCTCATAGAGCTGGAAGGAACCTTGAAACGTCATCAAGTCCAGTCCCCTGCCTTCACAGCAGGACCAAGTACCATCCCTGACAGATTTTGCTACAGATCCCTAAGTGGCCCCCTCAAGGATTGCGCTCACAACCTTAGGTTTAAGCAGGCCACTGCTCAAACCATGGAGCTATCACTCTCCCCATTACTGAGCTCTTGAACAAATGGACTCAGATGAACAGACAGACAAACTCACATTTGTAAAATATATAGTAAGAAGGTTGCTGGATAAGTCAAATATTTCAATCCCAGGTTTAGCACTTACTTGGATTTACGTGTTTCAACTCCCATTATAGACAGGAGGTGTTGTGTAAATCCTCCACGCAATCCAGTATAATGTGGATGTAAGATATTTAACTTTTTGTATTATAAGTCTGTAACTTTCAGTTATTATAAGTTATGTGACTTGATATGTAACTCTCTGCTACGTGACTCTCAGTTATTCTATGTAACTCTCTGCTATTGTAAGCCATGTAACTCAGTTGTTCTAAGTCAGTGGTCACCAGCCAATCAGGATCAGCTGGTAGATGTTGGAGCCTCTGACAGGTGATCTTGCCTGGTTTGCCCAAGAGGCTATCAAGTGCCAGCACTTCAGCTGCCCCTCCCCCAACTGCTGCTCATCTCCTGCCCTTTCCTTGGAGCTGCCCCTCCCCCGGGAAGCCTCCTGTTTTCTGGGCAGGGAAAGGAGGGGCGCTAATATCAAGATGGCCCCTCCCACTCTGTATCCTTTCGCAGAGAGGGATACAACAGGGCTTGGGATGGAGGAAGTTTGCTGGCTGCTTTTGGGAGTGGTGCAGGGCCAGGGCAGGGGTGAGTCTGCCTTAACCCCACTGCTCCACCAACCAAGAGCCACCTGAGGTAAACAGGGCCCAGCTGGAGCCCACATCCCGAAACTCTACCCCAGTCATGATCTCCCTCCTAGACCCTAAGTCTGTGCCCTAGCCCCGAACACTTCTGCATCTCAACTGTTTGCCCCAAGAGCAACTCAGAGCCTCTCTCACACTTCAGATCCCTTAATCCAAAACCAGAGCCTGCACCCCAACTCTCCACCCCAGGCTGATGAACATGAGTGAGGATGGGCAAGGGAGGGAGGATGGAAGTAGCAGGGGCGGGGCCTTGAAGAAGGGGCAAGAGTATTTATATTTGAGGTAGATCTTGGATTGCACTTAAATTCAAAAAGTGGTCTTGTGCTTAAAAAGGCTGGATACCACTCTTCTAAGTCATGTACATTTCAGTCATTGTGCGCACCTTAACTTTCTGATAAGCCATGTAACTTTCTGTAACGTCCATGTTTCAAGGTCTGCAACTTTTTGCAAGCTTTTTAATTTACAATCTTTAAGCCCTGGAACATTCTATTCTGTGACAAGGGAGCTGGTGGGCAGGTGCGGATGGAGAGAGAGTGTGAATTGGGTAATGTCTGTGCCTTTACTGAGAGGAGCCAGGAGGTTACAGACCTGGAGCCAGGGACTAGGTGGGGGTCTGATCTAATCTTCCCTTGCACATGAAAAAAAGGCGAGAAATGGAGGTGCAGTGAAAATGAGAAGAAGAAATGAATATTCATGAGGAGATTGAGATTTGGGCAGGCCTTTCGGTGACGGACACAGAGAAAGAACTGAGTGTACGTGACAGACGTTGCCCAGCTCAGTAAAGAGAAGAGAGGATGCAGATATGGGCCGTATGATCAGTTCACCGGCCCAGAGTAATGACTGCAGGCAGACACTGGCAGACTCACCATGTTTGGCTTCTGCTGCCTTTTTTGTGCAACTCGTCGCGTGCATAAGTATATGACTATCTGAGTGTATGAATGAGGAGGTGCGGTATGAAGGAGTTCCATTCCCTCTTTGCTTGATCAAATAGCAGCATTGAATAAATCAGTATAAGTATAACCCTGAGATGGTCTCCAATGAAAATTTGGTAACAAGGAGCAAAATCTCCCATGAATGGGATCAGGAGTAAGTTCTAAATTTGCCTATCTGCAGATCATTTGGAAAACATTTCCATTTAATGATGTTTCATCTCTTGTGTTGCATTGGCTATGTGCTTGGGATGGAAAATGATTCAATCAGCAGAGTAGCAATAAGATGGACACCTGAAGGCAAGCTAAAAACAACATGGCGAAGAGCTGTGAAGCTGGGAGCCACTGAAACACTTGCCAGAAACAGTCAAGAATGGAGGAGCTTTGTTGCTGCCCTAGCTGCCAGAGGAGTAATTAGAACATGATGATCTCTCTGAATTTCTCTGGCTATGTCTAGATTGCAGTGTTAAATTGGGAAAAGATACGTAATTTGTGGTAGGCAAATTGCGTATCTTTTTCCAATTTACTTTTGAAAGAGGCTTTCTGAAATTTGGCACGTCTATATGGCGCCAAATTTTGGAAAAAAGTGTTCTTTTGACACATCCCTTATGCATCGTAGAACGAGGTTTACAGGGATGGTGAAAGAGCACGTCCACTTTTTCAAAAAATAACTTTGGGAAAAGAAGACGCATTCCTTGGATGAGGCATTGTTTTTCCAGGATACCTCCAGTATCACAGAACAGCAATGCAGTCTAGACATAGCCTCTGTGTGGGAATTTAATTTGAGAGCTGATAAGCAGGGAAAAAAGCAGTTTCAGTCAGGGACATATTTCCCCCACCACCACCACCACCAAGATTGTGCAAAAGACTAAGATCCCCAAACAGTCAGAAACTCCTTAGTTTGAACTTCAAACCCAGTTCTACGATTTGTGTTAAGTAGAAGGTCAGATTAGATGATCAGAATAGTCCCTTTGGCCTTAAAATCCCTAGGCCGGAACCTCAACTGATGCAAATCAGCTCTGCGTACGTTAACCTTTTGATCACTATGGAACCAATGTTATCCCTACACTGTGTCATCATAGTACTGCTGAGCATCCATGTTAATCATACATACACATTCTTCAGATTCTTACATGTAAATCAAAATGCACATTCTTATTTTTCATCTGCTTCTACTTATTGCTAAATTTCCTGCCAAGTTAAAGTTCCAATTATAGGTGATGCCTATTAAAGGGATAATCACAACTCAAATTTGGGTCAAACTCTTGATGATACAAGCTTTAACAAATAGAAATTTACCACTACATTTTTTCATACTCTCATGAAAATTATCATTTTAAAACCAATACTCTGCTGCAGTGTGTGCAACCACAAAATAAAACTGATTTCATAGATTTTAGTTTGTACAAACTGAGAGAAAGAATAAAAGGAAAACACAATAATTCATTATTATTATTATTATAATAGATAAGTTTAACATTCTTGTAATTTTAATGACCTGTTATCTAGGGCCTAGAGAACTAGGTAAAATATGGCCGTGCACAATATATTATTTTTAATTTTTCTTTTAGAATTATTCATAAAACATACAGACCAAAATATTCCAACTTAGGTGCCCAAGGTTACTCATTTAAATAAAAATAGCTGCTAAGTACCCATGGCCTAATAAAAATTTAGAAACTTCAATGTACACACTCACATTGGAAAATTTTGACCACATCTCATTGGAAACATTAGCCATATTACTGATTTACTACCTAGCAATCAGACTATTTTACTTAGGAAAAAGGCATGTAATTAAGCAATATTGGAGTTTTTAGACACACCATGGGGGTTGTAACAGTAGGCATCCCATCTCTCACTTCTGTTAAGGCGAATCCCATAATCAACAATGCCAGTCTTTCCAAAGCCACAGTTGGGTCTAGCTTTCACAATCGGATAACCAACTCTGCCCTTAGCCATCCAGCCAGCGGCACACAAATGGAAACCTGTAACAGAAGGAAAGTACTGTGGCTGTTTTGCACATTCATTCTAGGAAGGAAACATTATAAAAAGTATTGCTTCATTAAAACTCATAAAATTTTTCTCTTTGCCAAACTCTAATTCATGTATAATTAGCTTAATGCAAATCATATCATGGTACTTAGGCAATTGCTGGGACAATTTGCAAGGACAATTCTGAATGCAGGGTATTAAAACACTTCTTGTCCTCCACAATATTTGTTTTCCTCAATGAAAAATAAAAATCAGATGTGGATGGACTGTAAAGTTCCCCACCCTGGAAAATACAATACCAACCTTTGTATTCAAACTAGATGTCAGATTAGTCATGTAAATATACTGATTGCTTTGTTTCTTTTTTAGTGCCTGATCCTACAACCTCACTCAAACATTACTTATGTGAATAAGGGTTTTCAGGACTGGGCTCTTCAGGTGAATAAAAAGATGTATTATACATAGGATAAACAGAGGCAACAGAAATGCTTAGTGAATTAAAAACAATCTGTTAATACAACAATATGATTGAGAGTTTAAAAACAATAATAAAATAATTCAAAGTTATTCATTACTTAGCACAGTACAAAACAGCTCTGTCATAAGCTGACCATATTTTTAAAGTAAAAAACCAGAACACTTCTTTTGTGGTATTTTTTTAGGTGGTGAAATAGTCACAAACAACAAACTGTACCCTATTATTAATGTTGCTAGTGCCTGTTGCCACGTTTTGATTCAACAGTGATACATAGTCCTCACATGGGAGGATTTTTTCACAATAACTTAATGTTCTGAATGAATTGATCATGGAACACTGAACAAATGTTTTCACATTCACTTGGAGCAAGGTAACCCCTTCAATAGGGTCTGGATTCATTCAGCTCCACATTTCAAACACTTGTCATCACATTGAACACCCTTTCCGCTGGACTGTTTGTTCTCAGCAGGCCCACTGATGGGAGTGGGGGCAAAGGCAGAAATTGCCCCAGGGGCCAGCAATTCAAAGGACCTGGGATTCTAGATGCCAATGCTACCAAATTGCTGCTGGAGTGCCATGCCATGCACTCTGGGCAGTGCAGAGGGCCTGCTGCCCTTGGCCCTGCCTCTTCTGAGAGCATGGGGCCACCCCCCTACCTCTGCCCCACGTTACCCAGAGGCCCACAGAGGCTGTTGGTTTCACTGGTTCTGAGTATCTGTGGAGCAAATTTAGCAAGATGCCATGGATAAACACTATAAAAAACAAGTGTTTTGATGTATTAAATGGAAATGTGGGACATTCCAGATGGAGTTTCTGAAGGCACAGATCATTTTATTAAGAAAATGCAGTGTAGGGGAACACCCAGAGCTTCTATCTCCAATAGCACCTCCTTCATGTAACACAGTGGTGCCAAGACTTGAGGCTGAGGCTGCTGCTCCCAAGCTCAAAGAATGGACTGATCCATTGGGCTGAATCCACTCTAATGGTCCATCTCACACACAGCACAAAGAGTCACTCTAGCACTGCAAGCAGCTGCTACAGCTGTTTGCGGTACAGATCATATAGCAGCCTCTAGCATACAAGGGGAGGAAACTGCATACAATTCAAGCAAAATTCCTGAGTTGCTTGTGTTTTCTCACAAGATTGCAATTTCTACCTCCAAATTCATGACACTTGCAATAACACAGCGCTGGATGTGTGATGTGAGACTCAAGTGACTCCACATTCAAATGTACCTTTTCTTTCATACCTATTTTCCTTGCTGCCTCCATTTGCTGGTATGTGGCTAGCTGTCCTCCTTCATATTCACACACTGTTTTAGCTTCTGCATAGGTGAGCTGATATTTTCCAGCCCGTGACTCCCTGTGGTACACTCCAGCTGCTCGCTCTGTGGGATCAAAGCAATTAAGAGTTGTAGTATTTCTTAGGAGTACTGAATAGAGGATTCCAACTGGCCTCCCTTCCTGGATGATATCAGACCTCATTGCTGCCAACAGTTGATCAGGAACTGCAACTTGGGCTACTGCCCAGGTGAGAAAATAAACAAGATATTCAGCTGGAACTGTGTGTTATTTAGAAAGCTTCAGGAAAATGTGTGTCCCTCCCAACACGGGGGTATTGGAGTCCTACGGGAGAGGGGTTTCTTAAAACACAGTGAGTCAACATACTTCTTAAATTATTCTCAGAACTACTACTTACAAAGCAGCAGCTCTAGCAATGATGAACTCTTCTAAGAAATACTGTCTGGAATATCTCACACTAAGAGGCGTTCTTTCCTTAATGGTAGCCCAATGTACTTTTGGATGTAATTGTGACAGATATGGTAATTTTCTGCCAATTCTATTTGGTTTCCCCAGGACACAAACTTGATTCAATAAAGGATCACTTAACTCAGCTACCCCTCTGAAGCCAAGTATTTCAGGAGTTCATTGTATGAAAAAGGGAAATAATTATGTATTACTATATGTAACTTTTTAAGGGGATGGCATGACTAATGTAAAGCCTGGAAAATGCTATGAGCTTCAAAGGACTCTTTTGGATAATGTTCTAGACAAGATTGACCTTTTTGTTCAGTAAGTTTTCTAGTATGGAGTATTTCCCCACCTAGAGAAAGCAAATGTCCCCCTCTGGACCAAATCTTTTGGAAACTACACCTTAAAGTGAAACCATAGTCTATCTGATCTCTGCATATCAAAGGCCCAGAGTATATAAAGGAGTGAGGACTCATGAGGGTTCTTGTTCTGAGAAAAAGCTGTTATAATCTGGCAAAAAACTCTGTGTGGAATTAGGAGGGCTGCTCGCTGGCAAGAGCTCTTGGACTTGGGATGGTTTCTGGTCAGCTTATAAACATGCCTGTGGGTTCTTCTGTTGATTCTCTGTAATGCTTCCACCTTGGCTACGTCTAGACTGCAAGCCTCTTTCGAAAAAGCCTCTTTTGAAAAAGAGCATCTAGACTGCAAGCAGTTCTTTCGAAAAAGCAAGCCGCATTGTTTACATTTGTTTTAGAACACTTCAATAGTTCTATGATTACTGCTGCTGAAGGGTCCAATGATGCAGATGATTTGCATGCAGAACTCCCATTGATTTCAGTAGGAAACTTCACTCCATTTAAAATCTGACAGACACAACTGTACAACAGGCTGTATTGCTGCTAGTAGTCAACATGACCAAAAAAATTGGCAACTATAAAGCCATTTTACACAATAGTAATACAGCACTGCAGGGGGGGAAATCCTTTCTTTTGGAAGAGTGCTTTGATTCATTAGGGACATTTTTGTTAACTTTCCCTCCATTGATCTGTGCTTGGCAATGAAAGGAATCCTAGTGTAGACAGCCTGATGGCTGCCAATACAGTTTTTGGACTCATGTTAATTAGACTTTTCCCAACAGGGTAAGATGAATTGCTGAAATAGCCTCAACATGTGGTGTAAGCATATGCTTATATGAATACACTCAAATATTTCCTTTGTGTAAACAAGACTAATATACATTTAATGGAGTTGGGGTGGTTCCAATGCAAAAATCTAATAGATTATAACATATGCTAGCTACACAATAACTATAGTAATACATGTTTGCTCCATTTAAAACATTTTCACAATCTTTTTTCAATCAAGATCTTTTTTTGTAGGAGATAGCTTTTGAGACCACAAAATTGTCATCAATCAGGGTATGTCTACACTACCCCCCTAGTTCGAACTAGGGGGGGTAATGTAGTCATACGGAGTTGCAAATGAAGCCCATACAGCTAGTTCGGATTAGGAAGCCTAATCCGAACTAGCCTAATCCGAACTAGCTAGTCCGTACCGCGTGTAGCCGTGCGGCACGGGGTCCGAACTAGCCGGCATTTAAAAATGGCGCCAGCCGGCTTTATGCAAATGAAGCCCGGGAAATTCAAATCCCGGGCTTCATTTGCAATTCCGGTTGCCTACTAGGGGGGTCGTGTAGACATACCCTCTGTGTTTAACCTACATAGCCAGACACTTGCTTTCTCCAGTAGTTAACTGCATTTGATATAGTTATATATGGATTCAAAATCTGATTAATACAGTAAAGAGATGCATAATTTTAACATTACAGTACTTCCATGTGATAATCAGGGAAATGAAGTAATCAGTCATCATGTCTCATAAATAAGATAATAAATTAATCTAAAAATCAAAGGCTTCAATCCTTGGGTCTCACTGCATGTCTAGACTGCATCCCTCTGTCAGCAGAGGGCTGCAAATTAGGCAGGTTGACATTGCAAATGAGGCAGGGATTTAAATATCCCGTGCCTAATTTGCATAAAAATGGCCACCATATTTTGCCAACTCAGCACTTTGTCGGCAAAAAGAGGCAGTCTAGAGGGGGATCTGTCGAGAAAGAAAGCCTATTTTGACAGATTCTGTAAACCTCCTTGCAGGAGGCATAAGGGATCTGTCAAAAAAGGCTTTCTTTCTTGACAGATCCCCCTCTAGACTGCTGCTTTTCTCCGACAAAGCTCTGTGCCGAAAAAAAGCAGCGGCCATTTTTATGCTAATGAAGCACAGGATATTTAAATCCCCGCTTCACTAGCAATTTCGACCAGCCTAATCTGCATCCCTCTGCCAGTAGAGGGGTGCTGTCTAGACATACCCTGGGAGACATATATCAATAAATATGCCCATATGCAAACACACACTTAAAGATGCATTATCAGGTCTCTGTAGTTAAGGCTGAACCAAGTTCTACTTGTACTCACAAACACACATATCTGATGCACTTTGTACATCCTGAGTAAATGGTTTAATGCTGGCATTAGAGAACAGCAAGCACTCCAGCTGGAGCTGATTACAGCACTACAAAGGCTGTTCTCTGCAGAGGGAGAAGGCTGGCTGAGAAAAATACATTCTCCCTAGGTGCCTAGCTGGGAATTCTTACCCAATAGTAGTAAAGGATTCTTAACAGCACAAAGGCCTGCTTAGTGTAGAACTCTTTATGCTTGTCTGTGGAGATGTTTTAAAGGGTTACTTCTGGCTAGGCAACAGTCTACCCGTCAGGGGTGAAAATAACTTAAATTTCTTACAGGTATTGTTGTGTTGCCCCTTGGGGAAGAGGGAGGAGCTCAGTGCTGGAGGTTGGAGGGCGCGATATGACAGTACCTGTAAGAAATGTAAGCAGGGGTGGAATGCAGGGAGCTCAGTGCAGGGTGTGAGGATGTGGGGAGTGAAAGAGTGAGGACAGGATGTTGAGGTGTGTTTGGGTCCATGCATGGGGTTGGGAGGCATGTGGGGAGTGGATGTGCGGGGGGGGCTTTTAGGGATTCTCGATTCCTACCTCTACTTGTTGCTTGCTGTTCCCCTTCAGTCACTGTCAGGGAGTGAAATGGAAGAACAGAGCATGGGTCACTCACTTCTCTCCTGCTTCCCCACACCAGCTAGGTGGAAGAGAAATACATGGACATTGTGCTGTCCTCTTGCTCCCTGACAGCAAAGGAAGGGGAACAGCAAGCAACAAGCAGTGTTGGTAGTGATGGCGGGGGGGGGGAGGGGCGGGGAGGCTTTGGGCCCCTCTGCACTTCCTAAAAGGTGCGTCAGGGCTGCAGCAGTCCTGAACCAGCATGGAACATGCCACTTTCAGCTGCCTGGCTGCCTGCTGCTTAGTGCAGCAGCCTGCAGGAAAGACCTTGGAGCCCAGCTGGAAGTTTGCTGCCTCCTCCTGCAGCAGAGTGCCCAAGCCAACTCTTACAGGAGAGACACTCGGGGGAAAATGCCTCACTTTCTCCTCTCCAACCAGTAAGAATCTTCTACATGTGCTATATATTACAAACATTTTTCATTGTTTTTGAAACATTGTATATTGAAGTCATTTTTGCTGGGATTCCTCCATTAATTACTGTCCTTTGGACCCTACCATATGGAGTACAGCTTGTCCAATTGACGAGGTGTAGTTCTTCCACTGCTGGCCCTCCATAGCTCTTTCTGGAGTCCAGGAATGGAGAATGCTATTGATTTAAAAGTGATTGACCTTCCTCCAAACCCACTTTCACAGCAACAGGTGAGATCTGAATGTAAAGTGCTTGATGAAATTCAGTGTTTTCTTGCTCTTTTTTAAATTTGGGTTGAGTCAACTTGCTCATGAGGAACTTACTTTAAAATTAAAGAAATATCCTCTAATTTGTCTTCTCTTGCTATCTGAAGCTAATTAGGACAAAGCATCTTCCCCTCCATCCCCATTCGAAATGTAGCCCTGTATAACACAATAAAAATGTTTGTGCAAAGTTACTCTGATATTTTTAGTAATTTTACAATAACTGCTTTTGGAACATGCCAGCAAAAACTGACTTCAGTCAAATAAATAAGGTCTTAGTATAAAGCAAATATATTCAGCAGCACTAAGAATTCATTCATGCATAGTGAATTTGAACACAATACATTGGGTAGCAGAGGAATAAGATGAACAAAACATACAATTCTAGTCTGTCCTGAAATCAAGTCAAAGCTCCAGAGCTGTGATATGAGGCCATCAGGACAAAATAGTTGAAAGTTATTTTCTGAGGTACTCCATGAGTTCTTTTTGGTAAATGAATGATCCATTGTTTTTCTTTCATCTTTCTTATCACTATAAATCCTTTTATTGCAAGTGGTGCTGACACCAGTGTTTTTGGGAAGAGTTGTCCTGGTTCAGTCAAGTTGACACTTTGCTTCTTCATTTAAAGAGAAGTGAAGCAAAACTAGGACATTTTATAAAATGAATAAAGCATTTCCACTCAGTCCATAAAAAAGGCAGTTGCTGAGACCATTATTGTTATCATTACTTAACATTTATGTTGTGGAAGCATGTAAAGGCCATTTTTTGAGGAGTAACGTTAGTTCGAACCAAAGGCTTTGGTTCAAACTAACGCGTCCCAGCACGTACTCCCTGGTTCAAATCAGCTGGTTTGAACTCCCTGGTTCAAATTCGAACTAGCGTGCCAGGCGAGATCTTGCTAATGAAGCGCGGGAAATTTAAATCCCCGCTTCATTAGCTATTTCAGTTTACTACATTTGCATTCCTAGTCTGAACTAGGGAGCAAATGCAGACGTACTCTATGATATCTCAAATACATCTAAGAAAGAGTGGCTATGCCCAGGACTTGGTGGGAAGGGGAAGAAGTTAAAAAAGTGTTCTTGTATAGAAAAGATTTGCGAGAGAATGATGTTTCTCTTCTCCTATTCATACATCACTAGTTCAGTTTTTAAATGTTTTAAGGGCAGTGACTAGATTTACCTATGCGTTCATATGGCTCCTAATGCAAAGTGGTCCAGATTTTGAATCCAGGCACTATGCAATCACTAATAACAACATAAATTAAACTAACCAGAAATATTTTAAGAGATGCATAATGTACTATAGAAGATAAAATACTGTATAACTATTACTTTATAAACAAGCCCTATGTGACACACAATTGCTTGGTTGTTATTTATGTCAATGTGTTTTGTAATACTGTCCTTGAATATAAGAGCAAATGTGTAATTTTAAAAAGTCCTTTTACCCACATATGAAATAAGAGACTACTGACACAATATTTTTACAGGCTTCATTCTTTCATAATTATTCCTCAGTTGCTTAATCATGCCAGCAATTCATAACAAAAACCAATACACACTTTCCCAGAATTTTTACTGAAAATTTAGTTTCACATGTAGAATACTATGTATTTGTGCTATGTTCATGCAAAAGCTATCGTGCTCCTTTTACAGCTGTTTCCTTTTTTCCTTCATTAGAAAAACAGCCATTTAACAAAAATAGTTTTTTATTTCAGCTCATGCTTTCAGATACATTCAACTTATATAATTTATGGATTATTTTCCCGTGTAGCCTTTAGTTAGCAAATAAGTGTGAAAACATTAAGAAAATTAGGCAGAATTGTAAATTACTTAGATAAAATTCCTACTGATTTCAATACAAGATCTTGCTGTTAGTTATGTATAGTATATTTTTAAATCATTTTAAAGAACTGTGGTTATTTCTGCAGCAAAGAGTTTATGAATTAATTTTTTTCTTACCTAACCAAATAGAGTTACGCAGTACTCCATCCTTGAATCCCCAACTTTGAGCCTCATCCCACAGCAAGACAAAGAAGAAAATTAGCATGATCATCTCTTTTGTCTGAGCTATTAGCCTGTAAATGCTCTCTGTTATAACCTCTACTAGCAGCTGCCTAAATTCTGTTGGAACATCTGGTAACCTGAACTTAAATAGTGCATTTTCCTATGAGGTCAGCAAGCCTGCTCCAATTGAACTTTCTGTAGTATTGTTACAGAATTAAATGTGATGTCTGAGTTGGTTGGTCTGACTCATTTTATGGTTCCCTTGCTTATGTGTCTAATTGTTAATGTATCCATAACTACCAAAGCACATGTGAAAACTTTTTATGTGCCAAAATTTGTTCTTTTCTTTATTCTTCAAATACATTCCTGTGCTAAAACTGAGTAGCAAATCTAACAGTGGATGATTAATCTATTTACACGGTACATTATTCATTGTCATTCTAATGATCTGGTCTAGTGGAATTTTTCATGGACTTGTCCTGAGTAGCTGTACTGCTTTTTGCCAAATGCTTTGACTTAAATATTTAGACTAAATGATATCTCTTATTCAGGGTCAACCAGGAACTCCCCCAGTCAGCATATTACTAGAAGAGTCAAAGGGTCAAAAAGTTATGCTTTTGGTTCTGACAGTGGGGAAATGAAGCTTTCCTAACCAAACCTTAGAATATGATTCATGGTATGACAGCTGTCTGTCGGCCTAGCTTCCCTTCTTGTTGCAGGGTAAGTGCTCATAAGCAGCTGTTCTTTGTGGGCAGGACTATGTTGGAATAAAAAGGGAGGAAATGATAGTGTGGAAAAAATTCTGCTACACTACCTCTTGTTCTTGAAGAGCTTAAGGTGGAGTCCAGTCTCCTGTGGTGGCACAAGAGATTTGTACATATTGTTTTGATAACACCCTGGAGTCTGGACTCAGAAGAAGTTATGGTTCACGATGTGTTCATTTGCCATGACCTCAGAAATTAATGAAAACCAGCAATGACAAGAAAAGGGTCAAGTGATAAGTTCACACTCAGGACGATTTTTTTTTTGCATAAATTTCTGTTTCATCAAGGGAAGAAAAGATTCTTAAATACCATTGAATCACCATCAGCTGGGATAGAGGGAATAATACATATGACATATTACAAACGTATTCAGGGGTGCTAGGACAATTTTTATAGTGGAGGTGCTGCTGATGGAAACCAAGGAAACATCCTCATTTGGTGTTTGTTATTTATTACTATTTCAAGCCAAGGGGTGTAGCAACACTCTCAGCACCTTTTGTTTCAGCCCCACTGCACATATGCATGAAGCTGGTCACTCTGCCCTTTCCAAAACACACACACACACACACACACTTGCTGAGCAGGATTGGAAGTATTTAGGGGAGCAGGCAGAATTGGGGATCTTCCTCTTCTCTTTTAGTAGAGGAGGGAAAGATGTACCCTCCCGCTTACATACCCCTGGATCTATTCCTATTTATTATAGTCAGTGACAAAAGCCTGCCTTAAAGCAAGTAGGGGTATTTGGTATTTGTGTTGTCTCCTTGCACAATGCTGACCTGAGCAAACATTAAACTGCTGAGAACTAGCCCGAGCAACATGCAATCTTAACTCTGGCCTCTTTCAGCAAAGCTCTAGTGTGCACTGTTTACACACACTTTTACTCTGCCAACCCCACAGCTGCTGAAGTATACAAGTTCTTCATCTCCTTTTACAACTCATTCACTCTCCCCATATAAGTCACTGTTTTAAACGAGGTTTTTCTTTGTGGATGAGTACTGAAAGATCAGCATACAGAGAAACCATCCCCCCTACACTGACAGCACATCCCTTGCTATCAATCACGTCCCCATGCTGGTACCCAATCCATATGGTGGTCCTCAAACAATTACAACCCATATTTGATGGGGATCACAAGCTGAAAGTAATTTTTCCTGAACCCCATTTTTTGGCCTTCTACCTTATCTTCCCCTCAGCCCTAGCAAGTTCATCATCAGAAACAAGCTCTCCACAGACCAGGACACGCCAGTTGACAGTGGCATCAGACCCTGCCAGAACGGATGGAAAACAGGGAGACAGCTCTGCTATGATGAGGAATATCCTCAAACCACACACCATTAAAGATTCATGGGTCTTGCATTACTTATCATAATATGCAGTATACTTCATCCACTATATCACATGCCTCTGTGGGTGAAATCAGACAATCACTCACACAGAAAAATGATAAGACAAAATAGGGTCGCTTTTCATAAAGTGATCACTTACTTAGCTGATCTTTCTTCACTTGTGCTCAAGGGAAACCTGTACAACCCTTTCAAAAGATGAGCCTGGAAACAAATCCATAACTGCTAGACAGAAAAAAACCCACCATGGACTCAAGAGGGTCACTGGTTCTATGGCTCATGACAACAGTTGGTAACATGCCACATTGCCTGCTATCATAACTGCCCACTTGAAACTCTTTATGCATAACAATGAAACCCACAATTGCCCACTTCTTTTCAAATGATTGCTTCCAACATGCATGACCACTTATGATTAACCATCTGTCTCTATTTGTATGTAGCTCAGGTCAGGTCTACATACAGAGAGACATTAGTATAACTATGTTGTACAGGTTTGGAAAAAATCCACACTTTGAGCAATGTACTTATATTGACCTAACTCCCTGTTTTTGCAGTGATGGGAGAGCTTCTCCCATTGATGTGGTTGCCATCTCTCCCATAGTTAATATTGTCTTCACTAAAATGCTGCATCGTTGTGGCTCTACATTAGGCAAGTCCTCAAACATCCTGATTTTCTCTCCCAGACCTGAAGAAGAGCTCTGTGTAGCTCAAACCATTGCACCTGTTCTTGTGACCACATCAGTTTCAATCTTTGGAGGAGCTCATAAACCAAAAGATGCAAACCATTAACACTTCATGTTTCAGTTATAACCATATCTGTGTGGGCTGAATGAGTGTGGTTTCATACACGTTTTAAATAAACTAACACATGTGCATATGTTAGCAAGAGAATTTGCACCCACAAAAAGCTTGGGGTTTTAGTACATGTGCAGTGGTTGGTTATTTAAAGAGCACTTGTGAGTATTAGTAAATATTGCACTTTGCACATGCAAATACCTGCAAACAAACTGTTTATGTGCATGTACAATTTTGATAACTCTGGCGGCCTGATAGAAGCTTGACAGAAAACGTCCCTCTTCATGGGCTTTTTAAGAAAAACACAAAGTGAATGTGGGTGGTTCCTACAATCTGGCCAAAAAGCTTTAGCCAAACAAAAACAAACACCATTTTATTTCATCTGCATTTTGAATGGAAATGGGTCATAGCAATAATTACTTATCAGAATGCTCCTGCACTTCAGGGTTTGGTAAAATGGGCATCCAGTGACCCCTATGAACCACTCCCATGTTTATTCTGATATCTCAAAACTCTACGGCTACGTTTAGACTGGCATGATTTTCTGGAAATGCTTTTAACGGAAAAGTTTTCTGTTAAAAGCATTTTTGGAAAAGAGTTTCTAGATTGGCATGGACACTTTTCCAGACCCCCCAAGTTAATGTGATACAAATTAGGTTAATGCAATTGCAGGATAGTTGCACAAGGGGGGTCTAGTGGAGGCCAAACTCATCCCTATTGGTAGGAGGATGGTGGGAAAAGTTCTTAGAGGAGGTCACACAACAGCTTTTACTCTGGTCATGTGTCCATCTTGACCCCGAGAGTGTTACCTCCAAAGGCGTAACTAATGGGGGATCGGGGCGTGGCTAGTGGGGGGTCAGGGGTGTGGTTAACAGAGGTCAGGGGGTGTGGCTAATATGTCCCTAATTTTGGTTCAGAAAATATGGTCACCATATATATGAATCAGTGTCTGGGCAGGTATATGTGTAGGTTTGGGGCTGGGGCAATCCCAGATCTGAGAGGGGTTGCCTCTAGCCAGCCCCTTTCACTTGCTGGTGATTCTGTCTCTTTTCTGTATTGCTTTATGAGAAGCAATCCCATTCCAGGGACATCCCATTTTCCTGGCTTACCTTGCTTTAAGTTATGACACCAAATTTAGTGGTCCTAGCTCTTACTGTTTAGGAGTTCTTGGACAGACAGATAAAGCCTCTCAAATACATAGCAGATTAGCTTGTAAAAGTAAAACAAGCTAACAGAAAACTTTTTATTACTCTTCTATTCTGCCAATGGGTAAGTAAAGTGAGATTTGTTTTTCATGAACAGAACTATCAAGCTGGGACAATTTGAACCAGTGAGAATTTATTTAAAAAATAAAAATAGATAAGGCAGATTTTTAACTAATTGAAACATACAGCAAAATCCTTTGTAAGAATCCTAAGAATCATTCAAAACAAAAAGGTGCTTGGATCTCAAATGAATCACACTTGGCAGGTCTACATGAAAGTAAGGCTAATGCATCCAACAGTACATTAGATTTGGGATTTTCTTGGGCTTATCACACTGGTTGAGTTGGAAAGTATCCATTTGTGTGAAATTTTGTGGTGTGGATAAAAGCCCAAACAACTCTTTTGTTATTTATAACTTCAGCTAGTTTGATCCTATTTCCTGAGAGGCTAAAGTGTAAACATGCTTTACCAACACCAAGTTTTGAAACTATCGCATATTTTTAGATGTACTTAAACAGATAGTTGGATTAAGTTCTGAACAAATTTCACAATTCTTTTCTGTTCTATGTTCCTGATAACACAATTTTGTCAGAGTCAAGATTAAAGTTATAATTTGATTTTTCTCACTGTTTATTGTACTGTGTCTAATTTATCCTTCACAGAATATATTACTGGTCTTTTAAGTTTTCATTTTAAACATTACCCTCCCTTATTTTCTATGACTGTCACCCAACTCCCACTGAAGTCAATAGCAGTTTTATCAGTGATTTCAAAGAGATTAGAATCAGCCCCTCTATGTACAATGGCATTTTAATTTAAAACTAATTTATAAAAAGAGAATCAACCAAAAGCATATGGGATTATTAAGAGCAGATGTTAGAAGAGGATAATGGCTTCACTTACCCAAACAATTGGGACATTTACCATGGTAAGTTATTTGTTAATAGGCAATTCTAAAATATAGTAATTATGAATAAAATGGACCTATTCCACTAGGACCTTTTTAATGCAGGCTAACAA